TTTAAATTCTTTCACATCCAGTCATTCCCAGCACAGAATTGCAAAATTCCATTGAACTTCACTGGACAGCCAGTATCTTCCCACAACGAACACTATCAGAAAACAATTGAAGTAACCCTCCTGCCACGAAGCTGTGAAAAAACACTAGGACGAAAAATCAAATTCACATCTCAAGAGCCCATGCAAAGTAATCCCCAAGGTAACCAAGTGGAGAAAGATTACTATTTGGGATATATAGATACAAGAATATTACACAGTACCCAGAATCAATTTGCTCAAGAAAACATGAAGTTCTTAAGTCTGCAGAAGCAGCATGAACCTTTGTCTGTATATTTAATCTATGGTAGCTAAAACAAAAATAACCTAGAAAGTTTAAATCTATGGTAGCTAAAACAAAAATAACCTAGAAAGTTTATGGCTAAAAGCTGAGCCACTGTGTGACGTAGCTACACACAACTAGGCTGTAAAGCCTAATATTTGGAATCTGAGAATACCTAGTAAAGGAGGGTTTTTTTAATGTTACCTGTTGGAACATTTCAGCACCTCTTCTGCCAGAAAGGTCATTCCACAGATGCTCTGTAGGAGGTATTGCACTGCATTTTCAAAAACTTCAGATCTAGACAATGACCTAAAATACTACTCATCATCTCAGCAACTGCAACTGCATTTAAAAGGAAATGTCAATTGCACTGAATTCTAGAGAGGCTGGCAAGATGATTTGGTCAAAATATTAATGGAAAAAGACTACACTTAAACAACATGTAAGTCAGAAAAGGTCATCAGCATCAGAAATCTGTTCAAAATGTTTCACGTAATACCATACCCAAACTGCCAAACTCTAATACTAACAGAGTTTCTACAGCTTCGCAACTGTTATCATAGATAAGATCATGACTTAAGAATTCTGCAAAATATGGTATGAGGTTGGCAAGAATGCAGGCATACCAGAACAGAGGAGATTTTGTAAGTCTATTCTTCATTAATGCAAAGCACCAGAGACAGTTCTTTAGCAGAAATTTTCATTCTATGTTTTAAACTACTAAAATAAGTTAGTCCATTCTTCAATAACGTAAATCTCGTGCTAAAAGTTACGCTTTGCAACACATACTAAGGACTGATCTTTCATTTGCATCACTGGTATTCTTCAGCATGACTGGTATTTTTGAAGATTCAGAAGTGAAGGAAGAATCCGAAGGATAAAGCTTTGCTCAAGTTCTGCTCCATTTAAAATGATGAATTTATAGTGTTGTGTCAGTAGAGACTTATCTCAAAACATCCCCTCCCCCCACCAAAAAAAATTTACAATTAGAGAGGAGATCAAGGAAATGGAGAAAGCAATCAAAAAAATACATGACAGTTTAAAATAGCTTCAACAGGCATCTTAAGATGCCTGTTAGGATGCCTTTAACAGGCAAATATTGTAGCACTATATCCAGAAAACACCCTGGCTAATAACCTGACGAACAGCCCATGAGTGAGGAAGGAGTGAAAAATACAATCAGTAATTCACAAGTTAGTCTGCTGTCCGGGG